GTGCGAGAAACCGACGGAATCGGAGAGGATTGGGGAAAAACGTGGTGGGAGATGAAAAGATAGGGGTGGGCGCGGATTTCGAAAATAACGGGTAAGCGGCTTTCAAAGGCAGACCCGTTAGCGTGGCGGACCCGTCAGTAAACCCAAACAACCGCACGAATCTCAAAACAAATCAACGGCCCAAAATTTGACAGATAAATAACAACAAAATCTGTTGACAGATAAATAGCAAAATTCTAATAATGATTACATATTTTTGTAACCCAACAATGAGAACTGCCCTTAAATATAAGGGTGTGTCAGTCGCCCAACACATTGCATATCCATCAGGCAACGGTGAGATCCGTTGGATCCTAATCCAACGTGCAGTTGTCATCTTCAACCTCCTAACTCGCCTGGTCTTCTTCCTCGTCGGCGGCCACGCTCTTGTCCTCATACTCACTCTAGCCACGGGCACTACCGAACCCTAGCACCCACGGTGGCCGCCTTCTTCCCCTCCCCCTCCGGCTATGGCGAGCTCTGGTAGTGACACCTTCCTCTGGCCATGGCGCCCCCACCCCCTACCTGGCCCTGCCGCCACCGCTGTCACCAGGACCCCTAAGCTGCCCGGCCTCCTTCTCCACCGCCTGGCTGGCCTACCTCCCCCCGACCAGGCCCTTCTATACCCGGGAGTTTTGGAAGATGAGACAGAGAGCTCGTCGGAACCATAACGAGCAGATCTAGGAGGAGGAGGAGGAGAAGCCGCCTACCTCATCGGAGCCGCCGCCGCTGCAGGAGCTGAACCCGCCGCCACTAGAGCTAGACCCGCCAGAACCCCAAGTCGGCGCGGGTGGGGCGCAGGCGCGAGGAGGAGCTCGCTGGACGCCGGAGAGGATCTTGCACGGGGGAGAGAGAGAGAGAGACGGGGAGATAAGTCGTGGTGCGGGAGGACGGAGGAGCAGGGTGTGCGACGGGGCGTGGAAGGCTTGGGCCGGGTGACTGACGGATAAGCCCGTTATCAGTCACCCCATGTGGAGTATTTATGTAAATATAAAGGATTTGGAGTTCAAAATTGTATTATGAGTCCTTATACTCCTCTCCTGTGTCTTTTTAGCAGATAATACTGATTCCTTTTAAACATGACATTCATTAAAATCAGTGAGCCGGTGACTAAAGAAAATAACAACTAAACTACTCTGTCCATTCTAATTAGTGAGAGGTAATGTTCCAAAAAAATCAGCGAGAGGTAAGATAATTTTTTTGTTAGAATTCTTATTTTGTTTGAAAATCACTTGAATACTTAAAGAGTAAGTGAACGGACTAGAACGGTCATGCGCCAAAAGAGACGAACAAAAGAAGGCCACGCAAAACAAGGCTCCTAACCTGGCAAAACAGAAAAAAAAAACACTTAACATCCTCTAGCAATAAGCGCTGATAGGTGTTTTGCTCCCCCTATGATCCACAGTTCAATTTGGTTAATGATCTTGCTGATGAGATGTGAGGACGACACTTCCACCTGGTTGAAATTCTCGTATTTCTTTTGTTCCAAATCTTCCAAAAGACTAAGATGAGCAACAGGAGGAGGCCTTTTGAGGAGATGGCTTTGGATCCACGGCCATCCACCAATGGAACTGTGGAGAGAAACGTCTTGGGGCCAATTGCTCGGGTGCAAAACTTGGTTGGCAAGCCATATTGCCAAAGCCTCCCAAATGCGTGTAGTAGTAATGCATATTTTTATTAGAGCTAATATAAATCAATTTTAAAGAAAAAAACACCAGGCGTGTTTGATTGCTAGCCACACTGCACCTTAGCCAAGTTTGACCAAATTGGCAAGTGTTTGGTTGACTACTAAATTTAGATTAGATTTTTTGGGCTCTAGGTGTCATAGAGTAAAAAGGTATGGCAAGATTCTTTTAGACATGACAAAGTATGACACCAAATTTACCAGCTACACTCTTTGTGTTGTATAAGGTTAGTTGTAGTAAACAATGACTGAAAACCACATAGCCCCCACCTTCTCTAAGTCGACAATTTCAGGCTACTTCACCCCTTTTTCCTAAGCCACATTGATGAGGGTATAAACCAAACATAGCTAAGAGCTGAGAATTTGAGGTTAGTTATCTTGGAGACATTCATGAAAGATTTGAGCTCATTATACATGATCGCTTTATTTATGCATTTTGTTGGTGCTTGATGTAGAGATAAGACTAGTTGCTAACTTGTTGTGTCTCTTGTTCATTACAGTACAACTTTGTCAACCGTAGATGCTGGAAATATTCATTCGACCAGTGTTGGCAAAGTGAATGAAATGGCTGCAGGTCATGGATGGATCTAGGTGACATATTATGAGGAATGGCGCACAATCTTTACGTATATTTGTATGCATACTTTTATTCTATGCTAGGTTTACTTTAAATTAATCATCAAGTTCGTGCTTATTCCAGAATGAACATGAGCCTCAATATGTACCTCTCATGTTACGGTTGCAGTTGAATTGAGAACTTGTAATATACGTTAGAATTTACAACTACTATAGATCTGACTTTCACTGCCGGCTTCATCACTGTCGGATTTTAAGAAACCGACAGCGGCACTATCATTGCCGGTTTTTTGCTAAAACCGACATTGATAGGACCAACCGACATTGATATTGGGTCATCAATGTCGATTTGTAGCTAAACCGACACTGATACTATCACTGTCGGTTCTAACCGAGAACCGACACTGATATTGGGTCATATGGTACGGGAAAACTTTCATAACTTTCTCATATGATGTCCGATGAAGACGAACTTTATATCAAAGTTGTAGTACTCGACGAGATACAACTTTGTAATTCAAACTTTTTTGATTTGAGATCGTTTGGATGTCCAAATACACACCACAAGATTTTGTAGAGTCAAAGGAGTCCAGATACTCCATAGTCATAAGTGAATGTGTAATGGTAGTTAAGAATCTCAGATGTAGAAGTAACCAAAATAAAAGTTGTAGATATTGAAAGTTATGCAACTTTGTAGTTTACAAGTTTCTTATTTGAATTCATTATGACGTCGCTCTATTTAATTCGCAAGATTTCATAGAAGTTAATACCAACTAAAGGCATATGTTCCATAGTCATAAGCGTGTGTAGTGGTATTTGAGAATATCCGATGGAGAAGCAACCAAAACAAAAGTTCTAGATCTCAAAAAGTTATGCAACTTTGTAGTTGACAACTTTTTCATTTGAAATCATCTATCTAAAGGAAATTACATTTGATTTCTCAATTTTAAAATTTGAATTTTTCAAACGACCTCGGATAGAGAAACACCCAAAACAAAAGTTGTAGATCTCGAAAAATTGTGCAACTTTGCGGTTGACAACTTTTTAATTTGAAATCATTTAGCCAACAAAAATTACGGTTGAATTTTCTCATATTTGAAATTTAAATTCTTCAAATGACCTCGGATGAAGAAATGACCAAAACCGAAGTTGTAGTTCTCGAAGAGTTATAAAACTCTGTAGTTGACAACTTTTTTATTTGAAATCGTTTAGGGTCCAAAATACTTATTTTAAAATCAGATGAACATAATGGCTAGGACGAATATCTGATTTGGACACAAGCATTTCACCGGTGGAGTGGTAGGGGACGAACACGCGAAGTGGGATGTCAGGGGTTCGAGCGCTAGTGCTGCGAACGCGTGTGTTTTCCACGCGAAAAATCGCGTGACTTGTGACTTGGGACGCGCGACCGTGTACGTGTCTGTCCAATAGGGTCTCTCCTGGTACTAAAATTTCATATCTGTGTCGGTTTTTAGGAACCGGCAGTGATGTCCCCTTCACTGTTGGTATACCTGTATCGGTTCAAAATCTGACAGTGAAGGGGGGTTAATATCAAGAAGTCACCTACATGGGGAACCCCCAGGGGGGGGGTTTCATTGAATATGCATTTCATGAACGTAAGGTGATAACTTTTCTCCTCTAGCCTCTTACTTAGCCTAGGCATATAAAGCTCCAATGATCCTTTAATAGCTCCATTGCACCCAAAAGCACTTCGGTGACCTCTGATATTTATTTCTTCGCGTCTTTTCATTCTGGCTTCTTTACTTGATGTTTTGAACTTTTTGCTTGCCTTATAGGATCTTGATGACAACTCGATCATTGTCCTTCACTTAAGGTGTTGATTAGTTGATCTTCACCATAGCCTTGCTCAAGTCTATAATTGTATCCATAGAACTAAAACCTTGTATACTAGCAAACAACTCTAGTCATATTGATCGATCATGTTGTTACCCAATCACCAAAATCTCTAATGGCTAGGTGCCATTTTCCTTACACCGCGGCCAAGCTCTAGGCAGTTTGCTTTCAATCACTTTCCCTGTCCACTATTATCGATTATGTTGTCATTTAATCCATTAAATCACATTAAAAGGCTAGATGCACTTTCAGATACATATGCCGCGTGAGGCGTGAAGCGGTCTATATGCTTATGGGCTTTGCCTGTGTCCTATATTTTCTTGAATGAATGGGCACGAGACTGTAATAATAATCATATCATGCTACAGTATCCTTTCATTATCTCTCTTTCCCTGCTGCGCAACAAAATAAGGTCATTTTTAGTCATTTCACACACACAAAAACACAATACTGCTTTCTTTTAATTTTAGCCCACGCGTATCCTTAGTTAAAAAAGACAAGGCAAAGCTAGCACAGCCTCGTTATCACATACTCCCTCCGTCACCATTTAATTGTTGTTTTGGCCTTCTATCACATACATACAAGATTCTCTGAACTTGGACATATATGACATCTAGGTACATAGAAGATCATTTGAACCTAGACTACTAGAAACACAGCTACAACGGTACATATATGGGGACAGAGGGAGTACTCGATCCCATACACCACCTCCAAGCATGTCAGGAGCTTGCTGTATATAAAGCGCTGCCCACAAAGCCTCATGGCACAGATGATGAGTGACAAGGGAAATATACCTAGGCCAAGGACGATGGCCAAGCAAATGAGCACAATGAGTGCTTCTGCCATGGCGTCCCTTCTCCTTAATCTGCTGCTGCTGCCCGTCGCACTCCCCGCGGCGGCGGCGGTCCGCCCAATGCGTGAAGATCTACGCGATCCTCAACCACAACCCCACCAACTCCTGGGAATTTACCCTCCACTAAAGGGACATCTCCCTCCAAGAGAAGATCTAGTGCGCACCTCCTTCATCGACCCTAGGAATGTTTGACTGTGTTATAACTCGGGTTCCAACTATTCATATCTCGTTTTCCCCAATGCGCGGTCATGCGTTCATCTAATAATAATAAGATTAGTTTTTTTTCTTTTTTCTTTTGAGGTTCTGGTTTATTCATTGCATGCTACATGTATACACCTTTTATGTTTGTGTTTGATAGTTCTATTGATTGAACTGTGGATTATCGCTCGCGTGCATTTTTTCGCAATGCAACTTGAGTTGAGTGAGGACATGTGCACCCTACTCGGCTTAATTTGGGTCCAGCATGTCGATTTAGAGCCTTTTTTGGCGGGGCTCTTGAAATAGAGAGACTCTACTCTAGCTCTAGCAGGACCTACACCAACCGCACATTCTTAAAATAGTGTTTTGTTCATTGATTGGTAACGTAAACGTAGGCGGTAAACACAGAGTGGATTTGTTTATAAGGAAAATGAGGATGGCATGGTTGATTTGTCCCCAAGTTGTGTTTCCTTCACTGCCCTGCTATATATAGTAGATCCGCATTCACACTTACCGCCACAACCCACGGCCCACGGGCTGAGCTCGCCGCTAGATCTGGACCAGCCGTCCTTGCTCGCGAGATTGGCTCCCTTCGCCAGCCAAATGGTCGGTTCGCAGGGCCAGGAAGCCAATTGTAGTCACCAGGTGTGTGTGTGTGTGTGATTATAAGACAATGCTTGAGGTTGACTAGACTTTGTGATTCTGCAAATAAAACCCAAGAATGTGGTGCCTCCCGCTACCGTACATCCAACTTTGTGTTAACTATCATCATCATCATTTCAATCTCAACTTCCGAATCCACTTGTTCATCTGGAGTAGGTTTCAACTTTGGCATCCATACCACGGTTACCCATACCAGAAATTACAGCTAATTTCGTAGGCAAGCAGCAGCTCAAAGTTGTTAAATACAACAAAATATATTATAAGATACTGCCATTATATATAAGCAGGCTATCTCTGCACCAATCAATCAAATTGACACCAATTCACGGCTCTCTAATTCATATCATCTGATTCTTTACATGTATAAGGCCTATGTTGGAGTTGTTCCAAATTCACTCCAGGATATAGGCCGGGCTTTCTGACGGAGCGGAGCGGAAGCCCGTCGCCAGAGGCTTAGGCCGGAGCGTAGCGGAGTCTGAAGCCGGCCCATCAGGTCTCACCCCTGTGCTCGGAGGGTGCGGGGGGCGGAGCCCCCTGCGGTACGGTACGTTATATACACCCTTGCTAGGGTTTCGTGGAGACTTGATTCTCTTGTAAGCCGCCATAGGCGTGTAACCCAAAACTCTTGAGATAGTAAGATTGTTGCTGGCTGGTGCCCGTAGTTTTTCCCCTTCACATTGGAGGGGTTTTCCACGTTAAATCGTGTGTCTTCTCTGTGGCTTGATTTTTTACTTCATATTCCTATACGTCGTTCGTAACAGCCTATCCCGATTTGCAGAATAGTTTTATACAAAAAAACAACAACAAAAGAATTGGCACAGCAGCAGTTAGAAGGGTGTAATTAAGAAGATGGTATAGGGCAACGACTACAGATCTCAGTTACAACAGCAAAAAAATCATATCAATCCTCTGACTCCAGATACGAGTACTTCATTAGGCAATCTAACTAATTATAGGGGAGTGTGTGTCAGGCGATGGAAGCTGTATGTTGGAGCAGGAAAAAACCCTGACCTATTCAGGACCAGGAATGGCTACTTGTGAGGACATGCTGTGTGCGGTTGTGTCGGTAGTGTCTTCTTCTTTCTCGACCTGCCGCCGCTTCCAAACTCGTCATTCCACTCAGAAATTTGGGCCATGGTTTCTGAATCAGATGGAAAGCTAGCACACACCTACAGTGAAAAGCTCAACTGATTATCATGTGCTTATAACATGTGCTAAGGGAAAAGGTAATCTTAACAGCAGAAGTGCCCATAGCATGCCAGAAATAGGTAGGAATTAATTATTCCTTCACCTGTCCAAGCGCAAATTTCAAGTCATCCATTCCAAGTGGGCGAATGTCCTCCCTTCCATACAACGGAGGCTCAGGCCAACCTTCAGCTATTGACAGACTCTTCTCCTGTATCAAACAAATGATATTTTAGCGCTACCAAGAGAGAGATGGTGTGAGATGCATCAAAACGGCTAAACCATAGATGGAGGTTCTGCGCACACCTTCTTTTCCTTCTCAATAATTTCACGAATGGGACGATGTGTCACAGTTACACAGAGATTCTGCAGGGAAGGGATCATTATGATAAGTTTGCAATCCCTTCTCATTTCTCAAGAGTCTTAAGGCATAGCAACATACCTTCAAGTCACTTTCTGAATATCCATCAGCCATTTTGGCAATTGATTCAAGATCCACATCTGGTTCTAAAGTTTCTTTGGATAGTATTACTTTCAAAATCTTTTCTCTATTTGACTTGTCAGGAAGGCTCACCATTAATCTGCCAATAAGACTTGGTGCAAAGAGTTAAGGAATGGACACAAAATCAGTCTAGTTCAGGGGATCATAAAAGCTTACCTGCGAGGAAACCTTCGAATAACAGCATCATCAAGGTCAAATGGCCTATTAGTGGCTCCAAGAACTTGCTCTTTAGTATGCAAACCATCCCAATGTATCATAAATTCATTTATCATCTTGCGCGTTGCCTCATGCTCCGTTGGTCCTCCCCTCATTCCTAGCAAACTGTCAACCTGTTATTAAAGGAAAAGACACAGTTGTGAGTGCAAAACGCAGAATAAAAAATGGACAACCCATTTGCTTGCACACCCTCATCAACAAATATTACTGCAGGAGATAGTTTACTAGCTAGAGAGAAAATGGCCTTGACGTATTTCTCTTGATCTCCAACCCACTGAACAAAAAAAAAAAAAATTGTCATCAGATTTAATGGAACATCTTCTGAACAAAAAATAGCACCCAGAACCGAGTTTCTGCACCCCCCCCTCCAATGCGAATACCAACTGTTTCTGTTGAATAGTACCTTTGAAGTAATGCTTGACATTGATACATTGATAAAGTTTGCACCTGCCTCAGTTGCTACTGCTTTTGCAAGCATTGTTTTACCTGTTCCAGGAGGTCCAAAGAGCAGTATTCCCTTCACAGGCCGCCATAAAGAAATGCATTGGTAGTACTTCCAAATGTAACTGATAGTTAGTAGGCAAATATGTCGGGCCACTTTGCTCTTTTAAAATTAGGCGAGCACCTTCGTTAGCTGCCCTTTGCTGTACAATTCAGATCTTTGCAGAGGGAGCATTATCCCTCAGTGTATCTTTCAAATTGTCCAGGGCTCCAACGTTCGCAAAGGTAACTCCAGTGTCATTAGGTGAGATAATATTTGATAGAAGATTTTTCTCAAATTCATTCTCTGTGACCACATCCTGAAAAAACGACTTGCATGAATTTGAGTATCAGGGACTTGTAACCAGATACATATAGAGATGGAGGGGTCACACCATTAGTGCATTCTTTGATCTCTTAGCTCCACTGTGTGCATTCTGTAACATACTGAATCCATGCTTTGAGCCTGTATCCGCAATGCTACTTAGCATTCCACAGAAGGATCAATTGATGTTTATATTAGCATCGTATTTTTACCTTTCGATTGGAAGTACCCGTTTGCCATCATTTGGGGGTTCACTGTCATGAAGGTGATAACTAATAGCATATCCAACAATGTTTTCCAAATCTGAAGTAAATCAAAACAATATATATATTTTTTACAATAGTGTTATTATTGAAATGAAAAGGATGAAAGAATTGGTCCATGAGCAACAAAGGTAGAAACACCTTACTTTCATTAGTTAGTAATTGATCTTTGTGAAGGAACTTGTGACGCCTAAGAGGGGGGGTGAATTATGCAACTTAAAAATTCTACTCTTTGAACTTTGGCCTCTAATTCCACCTTAGCAAAACCTATGCAAGAAAGTAATCTATCTAAATGTGCACCTACGATTTTGCTAATGTGTTGCTATCTCTACCGTAAAAGAGTCTTGCAACCTAGGTTCTAATCCTATCAACTAAGCTAGAAAAGTAAAGCACACAACCTAGATAACAATGTAAATGCGGAAGGTAAAAATGAGGAAGAGATGCAAACTCCTGTCGACGACTCCGGTATTTTTACCGAGGTATCGAGAAGCACTCAAGCTTCCCCCTAGTCCTCGTTGGAGCCTCTCGCAAGGGCCAAGCTCCCGGTCGGGTAACTCCGTGGATAGCCCCGGGCCTTCCCCACGCGCAAGTGGGTCTCCGGTGTGCCTTTAGCAAGCCTCTCCCGGACCGCTCCCCGCCGTCTTCACTATCAAGTTTCCGGCCGAACCGTCGCGGGCCTTGTTCCCTTCGGTACACGGTGGCAGCCACACCATAAACACGGTTGGTGTGATCTCGCAAGACTACAAGCCCCTTCGATGTACAACAACGGTGCGCGCAAGCACCAAATGATAAGAGGTATGCAAACCTCACTAAACACTAGGTCTAAACCTAGAGCAAGCGTATAAGCGGTGGTCTAATCAACCTAAGCACTTCGCAAAGCACCTACGCTAATCACCTAATGAATCACTAAGCACTATGCAAGTGGAGATCACTAAAATGGTGTATCAACACCCTTGATGTGTTTTCTTAGGTCTCCCTCTTTCCAAATGGCCGATTGAGGGGTCTATTTATAAGCCCCATGGAGAAACTAGCCGTTGGAACAAAGTCCAGCAACTCTGGCTAGCACCAGACGCGACTTGCGCCGATACCGGACGCGTCCGGTCTCTCACAGAGGCAACCTGGCCTTCTGCATGTAGACTTGATCGAACGCTGAGTGCGTCCGGTCACATGCCACCAGACGCGTCCGGTCGCAACTGCGCCTCTCTGGAACCTCTCTGCATGACGATCGAATGCTACTGTTCCCGCGTCCGGTCGATCATCACCCAGCGTCTGGTCAATACTGAGCTGTTGCTTCGATGGTGAACAGTGTCATCATCGCGTCCGGTCACTCGGGCAGGCGCCTTCGCGCTAGGGTTTAGTACCAGACGCGTCTGGTCAGTGCGTCCGGTCAGAGCGTCATGTCGCTATCTGAACCCTGTCTTTACTTGTTTCTTCACGATCTTTGCGCCTGGCTTGGTTCCATCTTTGTGTCTTGGACTTTGCTTGATCCTTTATGTCTTCTATGCATCTTTTAATGTCTTTCTTGAGGTGTTGATCATCGGATTATCACGTCACCATCATCCAAGTCACGTTTGCACCCTATTGGACTACAAAACAAACACTTGCAAATACATTAGTCCAATTTGATCATGTTGATCATCAAACACCAAAATCCAAAATTAAATGGGCCGGGGTCCATTTTCCTTACAATCTCCCCCTTTTTGGTGATTGATGACAATACGACCAAAACAAGCAAATAATAAAAATTTTAGAAATAAAAAACTATCTACTTGCTAGGATGCAATGCAAAGGGCAAGGTTATATGAAGCTAAAAGATACCACATGTAAACATCTTTGGAAACTTATCTTGCCCTTGCAAATGTCCCCACGTGGCATTACAGATTTAAGCCTCCCCTAACTCCATAATCCACTATCCTCCCTTTCTCGGACCATTACCACTTGTAAATTATTATGATCAGGGCTTGTTTTTTTGTCAAATTATTATGATCAGGGCTTTCTTTTGGTCCTGCAAATTCTCCCCCTTTGGAATCAAACACCGAAAAGGAAGACATTAGTAGCATAAGGGAGGGTCAAATTTTATGATCCTTTGAATGTGGAGTGGAATAGATCACAAAACTTGACTCTCACATTACATAGGCTAAGCTCCGCCTAAATATATGCATACATATGATGGAGGGTGAAATATATGCATAATCGGCAAATTAATGCACAAGGGAGTTTAACCTATATAATGCATGAAAAAAGCGTATAAATATCAAATTGAAGTCAACACAATGATATCAGTTAGGAATACCACATGTAGAAACCAATTTGAATGACACCACTTGAAATGGATGGTGGTCATTTGAATTTTGATGCTTATCTCCGGGGACTCCATTTTCCTTGCAATGAGACTACTACACATATGATAATCTTGAAAGGGTGTTAGTCTCAAAGTATCCAACTTGTAGAGTAACCTCCCCCTAAATTTGTGCATACAAGTATGGAATACTTGTAGGAGACATGCACATTGATTTTGGAATAAAAAATACCACTTGAAGGATGATATCACATAAATGTGAGGATCATTTTCAAAAGTGATAATCGGGGAAATTATCTATAATTTGGACTTTGGCACGTATTAGATAAATAATTGTTAAATAAGCTATGTGCCGTGCTCCTAAACAATTTAAACCATGTAGGTTTGCTCCAAAGGTAAGAGTAATACCGAGCAAGCCTACCATATGATTTACCTAGTGTATGCATGATAAAAGATTAAATATGCAAATGCAAACCTAGGTACGAAAAGGAACTAGATGCTAATTGAGATTGCAAGAAATTAAATCTAGTTACCTACCATGGGAAGGGGAATTTGGGTCCATAGTATTCACTAACCCACTTGGCAATTGCATGATCCAATGTGATGCATCCCATGAAATACACCAAAAACTTTGCCAAGTCTCCAAATTCCCCGAAGTCCATTGGACTTCTCACTTCCCCTTTGGGATCTAAACCTTCTTGGTGCTTTTCATGTTGGAAATGATCTCCTTAGGCACCCAAATGCGTTTGGCCCCATTGTTGGCTTGCTTATTCACCTTGATGGCCACCACCTTGTCATTCTTCTTCTTCTTCAAGAGATAAGGTGTGGAGGCCTTCTTATCCACCTTGTTGGTGTAGGTGTTGGAGAGCTTGCTTGTTTGCTTTTTATTTTTCTCTTTCTTCTTTGCTCCTCCCCCATTCTTCATCTTGCACTCATAGGACTTGTGGCCTTCTTTGTGGCATACGTAACAAACCATGGTTTATCCTTCATCAAGCTTCTTCACTCCCTTGATGGTGTTATCTTGATGAAGTTGGGCTTGCTCCGTCTTGCCTTTCACTTGAGTCAAGTCCTTGGTGAGGCGAGCCACTTCTTGCTTGAGTTGCTCATTCTCCATTGTAACCTCTTGTGTGCATGTTTCTACAACAACTTTCTCAACACAACCTTGGTTGCACAAGGGTGAGTCTAAACATAAATCATTACAAGAAGTAGAGGCATCCTTTTTAGGCATGTCAAAGATTGAACTTTTCCTTTTAGGTGCCCTAGTGGAGGTTGTACCAATGGCTTCAAGATTAGCAACTTTATTAGTTAGCTCATCATAATGTTTGCACATGGTTTCCATTTTAGCAAGCAAACTTTTATAAGCATCTTGTGTGCTAGCTAACTTTTCTTTTAATTTTTCATTTTTCTTTACTAGTTGCTCATCATTGATTGTGCATTCATTTGTGTTTGCACTAGCCTCAAGTTGCTCAATTTTAGTAGATAGCTCCACATTAAGATTGGCAAATGTTTCATATTGTTCAAGCATGGTAGCATAAGTTTGTTGTGAGCTATCTAATTTTTCTTTCAATTTTTCAAGCTTCTTTTGTTGACTAGTGCAAACCTTAGCAAAGTTAAGATTTTCTTGCACAATTTCATCATAAGAAGGTAGCTCATCATTATTATCACTATCATTGTCACTATCACTAGGGATAGGCTTTTTGTTACCTTGTGCCATAAGGCACACACGTGAAGTGCTTGATGATGAATGCTTGTGCCCGCGCCTCTTGTGATAGTCTTCTTCTTCACTTGAAGAATCATTCCATGACCTTATTGATGTGAGGGCTTTGTTCTTGCACGCCTTCTTCTTTGTCTTGGGTGTGGGCTTGTTTGGACAAATTTCCACAAAGTCCATAGCATCCTTTCTTTCTTTGCTCATTTCTTTGATTGGTGAAAATGAAATCTTGAATTTGGATGGGCACACCCTTGACATTCAGCCTTTGGATCATCTTCTCCACCTTGTTGATAAGTTTGATTGATTCTTCATCAAGGTCGGAGGTGGAGGAGGAAGATTGATCATCATCACTTGATTCTTCATCATCATCATCCTCATCTTCATCTTCTTCTTCATCCTCACTTGAGGAGCTTGAGCTTGAGCTTGTATCTACTTGCTTGCCCTTCATCTTCTTTTTCTCACTACATGCGAGAGCTTTGCATTTGCTTGATGAAGAGGCTTCTTCTTGACCCATTTTGCGTGACATCTCAAATGCCACAATTTTACCAATCACAATGGCCGGAGTCATGGTGCTCAAGTCTTCCAAGTTGTGGAGGATGGTGATGATGCTTGCATATTTCTTTTGGGGTAGCACGGAGATGATCTTCCTCACGATGTCCGCATCACCTAGTTTTGTCAATTCTATAGAATTGTGCTCATTGATAATTAGATTCAAACGAGAATACATATCACAAACAAGCTCATCATCATTCATTTCAAAAGAATCATAATTTTGTTGAGCTAGGCAATGTTTTTGCTCACGGACATTACTTGTGCCGTCATGGAGCTCTTGGAGTTTTAGCCAAATTTCATGTGCCGTTTTTAAAGTGAATACTTGGTTAAATACATCCATGCTAAAAGATTCAAACAAGCAATTTTTAGCTCTAGCATTGAAATGAATTTCTTTTTCTTCACTCTTTATGGGTTT